TGATATTCTATGATTCTATTCTATGATTCTCGCAGCCCCCATTGGCTTGGAGGGGCGAACCGCAGCCAGTAGGAGCTGCAATCGGCCGAACCTGCAGACACGGCAAGTAAACAAACCGGGCTTACCCTGGCAGGCCACGGGCCAAAGGTTGCCGATCCCTGGGATAGGGGAAATGGGGGCCCAGCATGCGGATTCCCTGGGCAGCAGCTGGGGCTCCCCTGTTAAGCAGGCCTATCAAACCCTCACCCTGACAAGCCCCACCTCCTCTGCATCTGTACCACCCCAATAAGCCCCCCCCCACAGACACCCAACCACCTACACCTAGACCCCCACCCAAATGAACCCCACCTCCCCTGCACCCAAACTTCCTCCCCCCCCCGCCCGCTGAGCTCCAACCACTTTCAGTTGGTCCCCTCTGCAGACTCCCATTGCCCCTGGACCTGGCACCTCCTTGTGCATCCTGATCCCCTACTGAGCTGCCTGCACCCAGACTGCCCCCCACAGAACCCTCTTACCCCCCATCTGGATACCCCCCACACTAAGTCCCTCCGCACCTGGATCCTGCTGCCGGGCTGAGCCTCCCTGCCCACATCTGGTGTGCCTGGCACAAAAGGGGCAGAGCCCCAGGATATTTCTGTGGCAGGCATGGCCTTTGTTCTGTGTCAGGGTCAGGGTCAGCCACACTGGGGGTTGGGGAGGCTGCAGGGTGATCTCCCACCTCCATGCAGCCAGTGGCCTGTGCTCCCCACTGCCATGGTGGAGCTTCCACATTTATTTATTGTAAAAAAAAAAATCAGAATTTTAAAATATTATGCACAGAATTTGATGCAGAATTCTCTCAGGAATATGGGGCGCTGTACAGCTGTGATGGTGGGACTGTGAAGGGGGATCTGTGAGTGGGGGAGCTGGGCAGGGGGGTATGGTGTGCAGGGTGCTGTGCAGTTGTGGTTGGAGGTCAGCAAGAAGGGTCTCTAGGCAAGGGGTGCTGGGCATAGGGATCTGTGGGGGAAGTCTCTGGGTGAGGGGGCGCTGGCATAAGAGCAGGGCACTGGGCAAGGGGCAGTGTGGAAGGGGCACACTGGCAGCACAGGACTGGGTGGGCCAGTGTGCATCTAGCAGTTGTGGGTTTGTAAACAGTGCCCTTGTGCTGGGCTGAGTGGGGCTGCTCCCGCTGCGCTGAGCCTCATTGCCCCCAACCGGTCCCTCACTCTGCAGACCGCCCCCCATCACATGCCCTATTTCCCCAATGGGGGGCCCACAAATCTGTTTGCTGCCGGGCTCACAAAAAGTTAATCCGGACCTAACTGGAAGAGCCATGGAAGAGGCTTTAAAGTGTGATTCTACCATGTAATATGGCAGCTGGGGTTCTATATTCCCTGGGTGTCACTGATTTCCAGGTCAGAGCATCCCCGTTTGCCAATCAAACTATGTTTTTTCCTACAGCCAGCTGTGCAAACTCAGCTAGGATCTGAGAGTCAAGCTGGGCTCTCTCTATCTTGCCCATCAGTAGTGGCAGGGAAGATTGGGTAGGCCATATTACGTTCACTACCTTCTGTTTATGCCCTCAGTGACGTCAGTGTTAACCCACTTGGCCTTCCTCAAGTGTCACTGGAGGACTAATTTGGCCTGCAAACCCTTGCTTATGGCGATGATGCAAAATGAGCTTGACTTTCCAATCCCAGCTGGCTGTTTTCAAACCATACTTTTAAATGTCACCTGAGCAGATCTGAACTTGAAACCAGTGCCACATGGTGAATACGGAACTCTATGGTGTCATTTATACAAGGTCATTTTTTAACATAGCACCCAAGTAAAACAATAATATACAGTTATATAGCTCCCTCCATCAGAGAAGCTCAAAGTAGGTCAATAGTGTATTATTATCTTCATTTTACAGATGGGAAAACCACTGCATGGAAAATTTAAGTGACTTGTTAATGTTCACATAAAGTATCAATGGCAGAATTGGGTATAGAATGCAAGTCTTCTAATGCCCTGTCTCTTGCTCTAACCATTTAACCACACTGCTATGCATCAATAAGAGAGTTACATAACATTACCCATCACCCCTGTTCAGCAATAGGCATCCTCATTAACCATGGTTTTATTCATGTAGATCTATCAGGTGATTTCACAAGGAAAGAAAATATTATATTTTGAAAAATAAACAGTAAAGATAGAACTTAGAGCCAAATCCAAACCTATTGGTGTAAATCTGGAGTAATTCTCATTCAAGACAAAGGAGTTACTCCAACTTTATACCTTTATACCAGAATCTGGCACATGGTATTTAGCATGACATTATAAAACACACGTGAATCCGAGGGGAAAGCGTGTCAACTCATGTATCTAAAAGCAACACAGACTGCAACTAATTAAGTAACTGGCGTGTGTTTGCCAATAGATTTTGTATGTCAATAGTGGAGAGCAAGGAAATTAAATAGTGAAGGAAATTCTGCATTACGATTTTATCCAAACTCAGTAGAGTGCTTCTTGTATTGAGCCCTTTGGGCAAGAATAAAATAGTGGGGTGAAACTTCATTTACACTTAATTAATATGTTACACAGCGGGAGGCCCATTCAGAGCCCTGCTTGGTACCTGATACGAGAGTCCTTGAATAGGTTTCTCATTAACAGCTAAAATGACGTCTCCGACTTCAATCTCTCCATTCTCTTCAGCTGGCTGCCCTGGAAACAGTCTTTTGATCCTCACAATCTCTTCTCCGAGGTGTTCGCAAGCCTCTCTTTCCATCTGCAGAAAGCTGAAGCCGAGGCCTCCGGAGTTCTTCGTCAGCTTGACTTCAAACGTATTATCTGTTCAAAGGGGGGGACAGGAACCTGAGCGTGCTCCACAGCGCACGCATCCCATAAAGTGCCGTTCAGCTCTGAAAAGTGCCTATATAAAAACGATGCCCTCTGCCTCAGCAGATCTGCTCCTGGTTTGCAGCAGAGGCAGCCTGCTGTCAGTAATGACCAAAATAACATTTGTATTCCTTTCAACTCCTGTGAGCTCTGTAGTGCTGACTCAGTTCAGAGGGTCTGAGCTGCATTCTGTTCCACCATGTGCATCCCCAGGTATAGTAAACCCTAACTGTGTTTGCCCACTGATTGAGAGGAACATTGCCTTGGGGCAGATGAGGACAGAATCTGCACCTGGTCTGGACTCCCTGTAAATACTTCGCAGACACCAGAAGTGATTTATAGTATATTTACTGAGCCTAATTCAGATGTCACTCGCACCAGCATCAGTCAGGAGCAAGGTGGGGCCACTAGAGTAAATCTAGGGTCGTGCAGAGCAGAATCAGACCTGTTGTTTTCTTCCAGGCTAGACAGAGGGACATGCCCTTCTCCCAGATATATAGGGCTAAATCCTGGCTTTTGTCTCAAGAGGGGTGCTGGGAAGGAGGTGAAGGAGCTGGAGGGTGGGGGCACCCTGCAGACTGAGTGCTTCTGGGGGAACTGAGAGGGGGACCTGCTAGACCGGGGTGGGCAAACTACGGCCCGTGGGCTGGATCCGGCCCGCGAGCCGTTTTAAGTCAGCCCACAAGCTTCCGCTGGTGCGCTGGATTGGGGCTGCACCATGTGGCCCGGCCCCGCTCCAGTGCTCCAGCTGGGGCGCTGGGTCTGGGCTGCACCACCTGGCTCCTGGAAGCCGTGGCATGGCCCTGCTCCGAAGATAAGGGGCCACTCAACAACTAGGAGCTGGAGAAGGGACATGCCACCGCTTCCGGGAGCCGCTTGAGGTAAGCGCCGCTCGGAGCCTGCACCCCTAAGCCTCTCCCCACGCCCCAACCCCCTGCCCCAGCCCTGATCCCCCTCCCGCTCTCCAAACCCCTCAATCCCAGCATGGAGCACCCTCCTACACCCCAAACTGCTCATCCCCAGCCCCACCCCAGAGCCCACACCCCCAACCAGAGCCCTCCCACACCCCAGCCCCAATTTTGTGAGCATTCATGGTCCACCATACAATTTCTATTCCCCGATGTGGCCCTCAGACCAAAAAGTTTGCCAATCCCCGTGCTACACCATCAAAGAAGGGCAGTCTCTTTAGCTCTGGTTTCCTGGCAGGGTAAGTGCATCATAGGCCACACCCCTGCCCCAGGCACTCCTCCTTTAGCAAGAGTGACATGGCTACTCTGTTCTCGTGCTCATGGCAGTGTCTGGCTGCCCCTGGCATGAGGATGCGGTGGAGGAGGAGAAAGGGGCTGTTTGCCCCATCCTGACTAGTGCACCCCTGCACAGGGAACCATTATTCATCCCTTGATCAATTAACTGTGCATATGTAGTGCTTCAGCCAGGGGATAAAGCAAAAAGTGCCACTCACAATACCTGCCAGGCCTGATTTTGCTCTTGCGTACACCAGGAGTCACTCTACTACTGACCTCAGTAGGGTTACACTGATGTAAATTAGCTGGTGTATCTGAGTTGCAACACAAAACGCTTCAGAAATAACAAATTCATTTAAAATCATGGCACTATCATCACCTGTTATGCTTCTATTTATTCAATATGTAGTTACACTGTATAATCCGCAGGAAATATTCTGGCATATCTTTTTGTGACCAGTGCAAATATCATATGATCTTCCATTCACTTCTTACAGAACGAATGAGTAAGTGGGAGGAAGACACCCCGAGTGCCTTTATCATCGCTCACCGTCTGTTGCAAAGGAGTAGCCGTTGGGACCAGCTGACAAGGGCGTTGCCAAGGAAACGATCACAGATTTCTCCTCCGTTCTGTCTTTAGCAGCTGGACACGGCTCTGCAGATTTGTGACGTCCCCTTTCTAGAAGCAGCCTGACAACCTAGCAAGATGATGGACAAGTTCCCCTGACACTCTGCATAGTCAGCATCCGCTTTTCATTTCTCTCCAACCAACAGAGCAGAAAATAAATGTTCCTGCCACCCAGACTCACATGAAGTAGCCCCTTGCTCCATCATTGAGATCTCCCCTTCTACAAACCTGGCCAGATTTCTTCAGGCATTCCACAGCCTGCTTGTGCGTGATGCCACAGAGGCTGATCCTGTCCACCTCCAGCAGCCGATCACCTGAGGCAGACAACAATCGGGGCAAGTCGCTTTGGCGTTTTAATCTAACAGGAATGAGCTACTAGCACTTTGCCAATTGTGACTGATCTTGGTGAGTTAGGCTTTACAACTGTATACCGTTACTGCTGTGTTTGCAGTATTTCCTAGATAGCTCTTGTAATGAGAGACTCTTCAGATTATGCACTGATGTGATCTAGTTACCAAATGCAACACTGAAAGATGTTCACGAGTGGAGTCACTGAACATATATTTGAGAACCATTGGTCAGATGTGTGGTTACGTAGAGTTCCCTAATCTGCAAAAGGACACCAGGTATTACCAGTGTGAGCTACAGGGACTGCATATTCTGAATCCCAGACAGCTGGAAGTTAATAGTTGTCTGCCCCTCCAACTTGTAATTGTTAACACATTTCAAAGACCCCTAGAGAGAACGCAGAGCCAAACATTTAATTCTGCAGTGCAGAATTGCACTGTCAAATGTCCTACCTTTTTTTATTTGTCCATCCTTATCAGCTGGTCCTCTGGGGATAACTGACTTCACGTATATTCCACCATCACGCACGCTAGTGTTGATTCCACCCTGCAAATATTCACCCACCATTTACATTAGTGCCTTAGCATGATTTTCTCCTCCCTTGGTAAAATCAAAGCCATATTTTGATGTGTCGCCAAGCAAATTCTGAACAGAGTTTTTCAGAAATCAACAACGGCTTCAGAAATTACATATTTTTAAAATGGGAGTGGGGTGGACTGGAAAAAGATACTACTCCCCCACTTTGTACCTCATTTGTAACATGCTCCTCAAAGCAACAGCCATGTCTTATTCTCTCTGTAAAGCACTGTGCAGATCGATAAGGCTACACGCAATTATTTAATCATATTCATTCATAAACACCTCCCCATGCCATTGGGAATGTGGTTACATCTCAAAGCCTGCTAACAGCCCCAACTCCATAAATCTGTGCAATGCACTCAATGGCTATTAATGTTTCAGAGGAGATATAAAAACAAGATTGTGACTCCTGACCACTTGGAGCCATTCACAATCCTACGGCACTTTCCCCAAGAATAGAAATGTTAGTCCCCAGGCCTTGGGCAAATTCCAAATTCACTTAATTCCATTCTGCCAAACTGCATCCCCAGGCAATTTCAAGTGGACAAGACTGGACGCCTTTCTGGAAGATATACTTTAGCCACAAGTTATTGGGCTCACTAAGTATTGAAGCCATAGGATGGGATTCTCTGGCCTGTGTTACACATAGGTCAGACTGGATGATCGCAGCAGTGGCAGATTAGCCACTGGGTCAACAGGGCCCATACCTAGGGACCCCAGCCAACTGGGGCACCCCCACGACCTGACCCGCTCTGCCCACCTGGCGCTTCTGCCGGGGAGCAGGGTGGGGGCGTTCCTGCCAGGGAGTGGGGTAAGCCTCCGCATCCTGACCCCACTCCCCGACAGGAGTGCCAGGCAGGGGGTGGGCCTAACCCCAATCCCATTTTGCCCATCAGGAGTGCTGGGAGGAAGGGAGGGGACTGCAGGCAGAAGAGGTGGGGAAGGGCCTCCACTTGCTTTGGCCCAGGGCCCCACAAACCCCTAATCTGCCTCTGCATCAGAGTGGTCCCTTCTGGCCTTAAACTCTATGAAATCTATGACACACTATTAAATGGCTGTTGCTTTCCACCCCAGTGGCAACTGCTTTCAGTGGCGGGTGAAGTGATCCTGGATCTATAGGGACGATCGATTAATTCCCCTGATGCAGTAGGGGGTGTTATCGCCCAGTGAAATAGTATGCAGCATTGCCATTTCTGCCCACCCTGGCACCTCTGAACTAGGGAAGGAAACATTAAGTTCCCACTGAGACCCCATGGTAGCCTCTCTAGTAGACGCTGTCTAGGGAATACACCTCTACCTCGATATAACGCTGTCCTCGGGAGCCAAAAAATCTTACTGCATTATAGGTGAAACCGCGTTATATCAAACTTGCTTTGATCCACCGGAGTCCACAGCCCCATGTTATATCGGGTCGCGTTATATCGGGGTAGAGGTGTACTCTGAATTGGTGCATTTCCAAGATGCATTGGCCAGGCCCCTCCCTGGCATACCCTGACACTTTCAAGTCTCCAGCTGCATTAGGGTTTCAGAGTGCTTATGCTGCTGTAACCTTTATCCAGGCTGACTTTCTGCCACTGCAGCTCCTCAGCCCGGGTTCTGATGGTGGGAAACAGGATGACTAGAACTCATGGTTTATAATCACTTCATCAAGCACTGGGATCTCAGGCTGAAATTCCTGTGCTGGGTATCGCAATCAGTTCATCTTCCTTTAGAGCCACACTTTGCCATGTGTACCGAGTAATGTCACAGTGTTAAGGATGCATTGTAAGATCAACAATTATACTTGCAGTCACACTGATTCCAAGAGTCCCGTCTTCTTTAACCAACTCCACAGAATAGATTCCATCTGAATTGCTTTCGGCAGATGGTGGAAAGTGAGAGGAGTTGGCTTCCTGTCTCAAAATATAAACACTAATGAGACTGTTACACGGGAGATCAATAAAAATATTCCAGCAGAAATAAAGGGCTCAATCATGCTCTCATTTACGCCAGAGTAAATCCAGAGTAACACCACTTATATCCACAGCATTCCTCCAAATTTACACCAGCGTCACTCACAGAAGAATGTGGCTCAAAACACGCTGCAGACAGATGGGGAGGTCAGTCAAGGCTAGACCCATAAGATTTTCTCCCTGGTTTTCTAGAACTGGTTGAAATTTTCTGCAAAAATGTCTATCAAAATTGTGATATTTTCACAGAAAAAATAGGGAAAAAAACCCCAACAATGCAACCTTTTCCCCCAATTTTTGACTAGCTCTAGACTTGGCCAATATTTCCCAGTTTCAAAATTTTGACAAACAAAATCAGAAGATTTTTAAGCAAAATTTTCCCTTAATATTTTCCCCTCATTTTTTGACCCAGGGCCAATGGGAAGAAAGCACAAGGGGTGCATAGGTTTTACAAGGATCCCCTGTGTCAGATATATGCACAAGAGTGCACTGAGGGGTGGCATGTGAGGTGTCTGCTGAGAGCCAGTAGCCCACTGGTCATCGTAATCATTGCAAAATGTATGTATGGGTAATATATGTATCTATAATGAAAATATGTTCTCAAGGTCTTGAAGTTAAGGCAGGTCACCAGGAGGTGATCTACCGTGGAAATGTTCCTTTCAGACAGGAGGTAACAGACACATGTCTCTCTGCCTGTTCACTTGTGTATTGTATGCTTCATAATGTATGCCTATTTGCATACTGAGCAAGTGATGAAATGAGAGATTGTGAAATTGACAAGACGACACAAAAAGCAGCGGGTGTTTCCTATTTATGAATAAAGACAAAGGATTGTTCTTGTATATCTTGGAGTGTAAGGAATCACACTGAGTCCTTCAGCTAGGAGGCAAGCCGACAGCATGTCTATCTCTTGAAAGGGGGGTCACAGCCAAACCTGGCTCTAAAACGCTGCAAGGATTTTGGGTGAACAATACTCTATCAGACATGAGAATATCTTGTTAATTAAATCTAGGCTCTAGAACGTGTGTTATGATTTTGGTTTATATGTAACCATTTGTTTCTAATACGTCTACTGTTATTACTTGAATCTCCGCGCTTTGTTAAAGAAACTTATACTTGATTTCACTATAAACCTATATAAGTTCTGCGTGTTAAGTGGAGCGGTGATCTGAGGTGGAACTGGTAACCTGGGGTGTATTGTTCCTTTGGAAGCAGCAAATCTGCAAATATTGTGAGTGTGCAGTGGACCTGGGGTTGGACACTTCAGGGAGCTGCTCGGCAGGCTAGAGCATTGGAGTGTGCTTATCGCTAACCTGCAGAGTAACAGCAGGGCCTATGAGGTCTAGAGAGGAGTGGTTGTGTTGCCTGTAGCCGGTGAAGTCAGGGATTTGACCCATGGCAGGCAAAGACAGGGCTTCCTCATGCTAAGGGCAAGTGGTAGCGAGGTGTCACACAACTCTGGGTACCCCTGGGAAGTGTCATAGTAGAACAAGAAGGAATCAGCTTAGTTTGCACAAGAAAAATTTAGGTTACGTGTTAGGAAAACTTCCTAACTATAAGGCTTGCTAAGCACTGGCACAGGTCACCTAAGGAAGTTGTGGAATCACTAACATCAGAGGTTATTAAGAACAAGTTAGAAAAACACCTGTCAGAGATGATCTAGGTTTACTTAATCCTGCCTTTGTGCAGGGGGATGGATCCTTCCACTAACATTTCTATGATTCTTTATTTGACGTAGTGTCACAGCTGAGCAATATCAAAACTGTGGTTACCTCAATATCCAGGCTGTCAACTGAAAGAACAGGAATCTTGGGACCCAATTTTGGTGCTAAATTCCAAGAAAGAACCTTCTCAAGTTCATCTGTATTCATGTCTACTTCTTTGGAAGGTGCTGTATGACAGTCTTGAATCCTTTTTCTTCCACTGTCTGCACAAGAGATCTCAGACCCACTAGTGCTGTTTTTTCTTGACAAATTCTTCTCCTCATTCAGTCCTTCTTCAGATATGTCTATGAAACCAGACCAAAAACAAACATTGCCAACTGCAAAAATCTGGAGAGAAAGACATTATTATATATTGGCACAGGAGGAGTAGATAACTTCAATAGTGGCTTGGTCCTGACATCTCAATGAGATCTACAAAACAAGCCAAGTTTGAGTAATATTGATACAGCCATTGTGGAGATAAGCATTTCTGCTTAGAAAATGTGGGGCAAGTGTATTCATTTCACCCTTGCAGGACTCAAAAATTTCAGAGAATATTTTGCTGAAACTTTAAATAGAATAAACCTTGTCCTTGCACTAAAATGGAGCATGGAAACTTTTAGTACAAAAAGAACTTTAAAGAAACTATTAGCTCCTGAAAGGGGCAAGAGTGGATGGGATTTATGAAGGAAATCACATTTCTGTCTTAATTATTTTGATTGATAATGCAACTGCTTTAACAATCTATAAACATTTCTTACCCATATCATCTTTTTTGATACAATCAATCACTATTTATTAAATACTGTAGTTTCTGAAGGTAAGCACCTTTTCTTAACCAATGCAGAACATCTTTAGGATTTTATGATTTTACATGTCCAAAATGTCATCGTAGTTGGTTTTTTTTCCCACTTTTGAGTGAACTGATTGCTGGTCTGACAGCCCCGGGGACTGAATCTCCTTATAGCCACAGAACAGGTAAAGCACAAGCCAGTAGCAACTGTGTAAGCTTTACAACAGTACCCTTCCAATGTGCCTCAATACGGCCCTAGAGGGAGCACCAAGAGTGGATTAAGAGAGGAACTTTCTCCTCATCTCTATTTAGGCTCTTATACTGTGCCCTTCACCTTGGCATATGAGCTCCTGAGTACCTGGACGCTGGGATCCAGGCCTGATACAGCAGTTACTCTATGAGATATCAAGACCCTATGGGAATGCTGAGAGAGAAAGATCCATTAGATGGAGGAGGGCCAAAGAAGATGAGTCAGAGAGCTGGAGGATGTCTAAGGTATCTATGGGGGGACTGATGTTTTCTGGGAATGCAAAGTATGGTGCATTTGGACCCTGGTTAGTTTTAATCTGCCGTTTGTAACCAACTCTATGAGCCCAGACTCAACGGCACATTCGTTTCTTGGCCACTTGTGAGGGGCGGTTTGCGAGGTGTACACCCGCTGACTAAGAACTGGACAGTGGGGTCAATCCTGAATTCATAGAAGTCAACAGCCAAGTTCCCATTGACTCTTGTGGTGCTGGCTCAGGTCCTTAGAGCATCAGCTCATTTCACAATGACTGCTGGACAGCTGTCCAGGGTATCTACTTGCAGTCACATGCACTCACTACCAACCTGGGCTGAATTATAACCTGCAGTTTAGAGACAAAAGCCTCCAAAGGTATCCCATTACCAGTGCCCTGAGCCAACCACTCCCATGGCCCATAAAACCATTCACCTCCCAAGCCTTATTGTACCTTTGGGTTGAGAGATGATCAGTTCCACGTCATCAGGACAATTCTGTATAATTTTAACCGCAGTATTAAAAGAAACACCCTCGAGGCTAACATTATTCACGGAGATGAGTCGTCCCCCTAAGAACAGGATTAAAACAAAACACATCAGGACGGGGGAAAATAAGGCCAGATCAGTCCATTTTAAACCATGAAAGCATTTGAATTCTAATTAAAAACTGGGGATGGTGACCTGGTTTGATATGTCCCGCTCTGTCTGCAGGTCCCCCGGGGATAATTGATGCGATAAATATTCCGAGGTCTAATTTCCCCACATTTTCTCCTCCAATAATTACAAAACCTGCAAAAATGAGATAGCATGAGAAGTTGGAAAAGCTGGTGCTAGAAAAATGAACCTTAGGAGAACAAAAGCATCTTTTCCATTGCCATAAGTTATCTACATACTCTGGGGAATGGAGCATTTTGATTTTGCCTCATCGAGGCTCCGGTTCGGGAAGCACTTCAGTTTGCATTTAACTTTAAGTATGCACTTTTTTTTTTTCATAGATTCATATATTCTAAGGCCAGAAGGGACCGCTGTGATCATCCGGTCTGATCACCTGTATAACACAGGCCAGAGAACTGCCCCAAAATCATTCCCAGAACAGATCTTTTAGAAAAACAGCCAATCTCGATTTAAAATTTGTCAGTGATGGACATTGTTCCGATGGTTAATTACTCTCACCGTTAAAAACATACACCTTATTTCCAGTCTGAATTTGTCTAGCTTCAATTTCTAGCTGTTGACTCGTGTTAGACCTTTCTCTGTTAGACTGAAGAGTTGATTATTAAATATTTGTTCCCCACTGGACACAGCAGTTCCAGTAGCAGTTGAACCAGTGCAAAATACAGAGGTAAAATAATGTCTCGTCTCCTACTCAAGATTCCCCTGTTTATGCATCCCAGGACTGCATTAGCCCTTTTGGCCACAGTGTCATGCTGGGAGCTCATGTTCAGCTGATTATCCACCATAACCCTCAAATCTTTTTCAGAATTAACGCTTCCTAGGAAAGAGTCCCCCCACCTAGTTTGAGTATGGCCAATATTCGTTGTCCCTAGTGGTACACCTTTACATTTAGCTGTATTAAAACGCACAGTATTTGCTTGCATCCAGTTTACTAAGTGATCCAAATCGCTCTGTATCACTGACCCGTCCTCTTCATATTCACCACTCCCTCAATTTTTGTGTCATCTGCAAACTTTATCAGTGACGATTTTATGTTTTCTTCTATGTCATTGATAAAGATGTTAAATAGCTTAGGGCCAAGAACCAATCCCTGGGGGACCCCACTGGAAACCGTCCTGTTCGATGATGATTCCCCATTTACAGTTACATTTTGAGACCTATCAGTTAGCCAGTGTTTAATCCACTTAATGTCTGCCATGTTAATTTGATATCGTTCTAGTTCTTTAATCAAAATGTCTGGCAGTACCAAGTCAAATACCTTACAGAAATCTATGTATATTACATCAACTCTATTATCTTTATCAATCAAACTTATGACCCACTGACTTTAGCGCAAGTGCTTAGGTGCCCTTCCTGAATAGGGGTGCTTTCCTGAATCAGGGCCCTGAAGAGCCATGCTCCCAAGTCATAGAAGCCAGTGTTTCCCAAACCCATCAGTGGGTTGCAGGAAAAGTCCAGGTGGTTGTGCCTCCCTGGAGGTGTTCATCCTTCCCCTGTGCTCTCACTGCCCCTGCGCAGCAAGCAGCAGCATGGGGAATGGGATCCGGGCAGCAGCAGCCCAGAGGAAGCACCTCCAGGACATGTGCAGGATGGGGACAGATTACTGACTGCTGGCCCACTGGCTCCATCCATTTCCTCAGCGCTACTGCTGCTTCCTGGACCCAGCTCTCACTTCCTCTAGCAGCAGCATGGGGAGTGGGAGCAGGGCCACCGAAGAAGCAGACGGAGCCAGCAAGCAGCCAGTCAGCAGCCTGGTAGCGATTGCAGCCCCTTGGTATAGCTGGGAGTAAAACCCAGATCTCCTGAGTCCCAGGCCAGTGCTCTACCCACTAGACCACACAGCTGTGCTGTCTGGATCCAGATCAGACCTTTCACAAGATTCAAGTTTGTTTGGATCCAGGCTTTAGTTTTGGGTTTAGCTCTAAATAATAATTCTGTATACTTTAAGAACTCCCCACATGGGTTGTCAGCTGGTTTTGAACCCAGAACTTTCAGTACAGATCTCTGTCATTTAAGACTTCAAAGAGTAACTGTGTTAGCTGTCTGCAGTAGTAGGCTGCTATCCTCTAGTGAGCCAATAACTAATAGTGGATGCAGCACACACTTTGCCAGTGTGTTACATAATATAATATTAAGGTTGTACAGTCGGGCATTTAAAAGTCAGATAATACCCGAGTTAAGGTTGCATAGTCACTATGCAGCTAAGTAAGCTACTTATATAACTTCACAGTGCATCCATTCATGTCATATGTTGGCATAAAATGCTAAACAAAACAAAACCTAAAAAAAAAAAAACACATTTCCTAGGTGACAGATGTCTGTCCAGAACCTAGCGCTTTTAGTTCTACACCCAATGCCTACCCCATTAGGCCACCACAAACTTCTGTGCGTTGACTACACCTGCTGAAAAACTGGCTAATAATGATGTTTTGCCATTTTCAACCTGTGGACCTCAAAGTGCTATGCAACCGTTGGCAGTCACATGGGATCAGCAAAATCAAGGAAGCTACTGACTTGCCCAATTTCACACGGCAAATACCTTTGGATAGAGACAAATTGACAACATTTCTGTAACTGCTAATACTCAGTCTGGGAACAGCTTATCCTGTTTGCCAGATTTATTTTTCTAAATAGATGTCTAAAAACTGTATTGAAAAGAAAGAAAGAAGTACATCTAAAGGCCTATATACATGGTCGGACAGTCCTGGTAACAAACATACCATTCATGCCCCTTACTCACCAAAGCCATTTTTAGGATCTCGTTTTAAGGTGACACAAATGATTTCTCTTTCTAATCCAGACAGCGCATTCTCTCTTTGGTTGACTGGGGAACTTGGGGCTGCAGAAACAAACAGCTGGAATAAATAGACAAGTTCAGACAAGGGGAGGACACTTACATTCTTTGACCATACAGGTGTTTAGGAGTTAAGACGCTTTCCTCTTAATTTCAACAGCATTATTCCTTTTTTTACATGAATATGCTGGAAATGAGAGGTGCTAGATGGAGAGCCCTGGAGACTGGCATCCTGTATGTAGCTACAGAACGGGTAAGCACTACAGTTCAAGCTTCCCCCACAATGTCCCACCTATACATATTTCCCCTCACTTGGAGGGACCACTTCTATTTAGACAGTCAGGGACCATCTTTTTGTTCTGTGTTAATAGAGCACAAGAGGGTCCCAGTCCATGACTGGGACTACTAGACACTACTGTAATACACCTGGAAATGTACCGTGCCTTGCACAGTGGGGGCCTGGTCCATGACTGGTGCTGATAATATAAAGATTAAATAGCAGTAAGGGGGCGGGGCCAGGCTGGGATCTTTAAAGGAGGTTATGGGAATTAGGTATCCAAATCCCACTACGCCTAAGGCCTGGGATCATAAAAGGCATTTAGCTTTTGCTGCGCTCAGCATTGCAACACCTAGCAGATTTAGCAGCCGAAGTACCATCGACTATCAATGGGATTTTGGCTGCCATCCTTGTTGAAAATGAGATTTTGGCTCCTAAATCAGTTAGGCATTGCCATGCCGAGTGCAGCAACGCCAAAGCGCTTTCTCAAATCGGGGCCTTTATCTCCATGCCCTTCCTGCTGGCTGAGGAGGCAGGTGCTGTTATAGGATCCAAATAGCACCAGTTGTGGCGATGGCTTTTTGGTTGGGGTCATACCATGTCACTTACTGCAATGTGGACATTGAAAATGTGGCTCTGCTCTGAAAAGGGTCTGTGTAAAAATGACATCTTCATCTTATCGCCCCCGGCGTGTCTGAGAGTCAGAGTTGCTGGCTTCAATGCCTAACATCGGTTTCTATGGCTTTTTACCTCTGCAGTGCCAGCACAGGCATAGAAGGAGGAGCTGTGTTCTCTGCCGCCTCAGGCATCAACTACAGAATTGTTATTATATTTCCATTGGAAAGCCAAATTCCACCCTTACTGACACCTGCGCTGCTTCATGTCAGGCATTTAGATACAACTAAGCAATCTCACTGAAGACAATGGGGCATCACTGGAGGAATAGCCTGCCGGGCCCTTATTACTAGTGTCAATGCAGGGGGAATAAAGAACCCAGCTTGAGTCGCTGAGCCCAGGGTTAGTTTGCAGGCCTGAGCGTGAGAACAACAATCTTTTACATTGTAAAGTGAGTACATCTGATCTGCCATCATTGAGACATGATGAACCTGGAGCCCCATGGTGCCAGTTGTTATGTTTCCTTTTCAGATCACTGCTGCACTCTGAGTGCGTCACAGACTAGCATACTCACTGCTGGCTGTATTTGGTGTTGAATGGATAGAGAGATAGTCATAACTCCGTCGTTTTTCATTCAAACTAATGTGTACTTCTGACTGGGACAATCCAGAGTGGGAGCTAGGGGCAACAAAGGAGACTGACATTAATGTAACAAATCAACAACAGCACTCTCCATCTTCAAAAAACTTTCCAAAGCAGGTCAGAGCCAAGATGGGAACAGAGAAATTCCTGGATCCGTACATATGCTCAGGCCACTAGATCTCCTTATCAGAGAAGGCTGGGCTTAGTCTGGCTCGCATTAGCTTTCAATTGATATCCACTACTCAACCGTTCATTAAAGGACTGCTATGGGGTGTCTACCACACACAAGCCCTGAGCGGGTTAATGTCGGCCCGAAGGAGCCAGTTAACCATGGACGCTGCACCTGGAGGGGAACCAGGAATTGCTAAGCATGAATGGTAGGTAAAGCCCAGCTCGGGAAGGAGCTGGGCTAAGAGTGTAAAGCCAGGAAGTGAAAGCAGGAAGGAGGGCTGCAGTCACTCCCTAGAGGGAAAGGGAGCTGGCCAGGGACAAGGAGAAGATCCAGGGGGAGAGTAAACGCTGGGTTCCTGCCCTGGACTGGGGAGTCCAGTGAAAGGCCAAGAAGGGGAGCAGAGGACGCTCCCAGAGATAGGCAAGGAGATAGATAGGTGGAGTAGAAGGGGTCTGGGGAAACAGCAACAGGTTCTGAGACTGAGCAGACCTGGATTGCTACACATATGGTCCCTGGGCTGGAACCCTTAGTAGCAGGCAGGGCTGGGTACCCCTACCAGCCACTGGGAAAGTGGTACTGGACCAGAATGGAAGACTGCCTGAAACGGCATATGGCCAGCTTGTCTAGTGGGACTCTAGTACCCTGGAGTGGGGGGACTCTATAGTGATCCTCTCTCTTCTGAGGCTTTGTTCTACTTCATAGCACTTCAGATGGCATTCAAATCTCTTAAAGGCCTCAGGAGCCCTGTGCAGCTACAGCAACCACCCACACATTGGTGCATGTAGTAATGTCAATGAAAGGAGATGCTCTCATTCTGTTTTCTGTGGACTGCACCTTTAAACATAGAATCATAGAAGGACGGGAAGGGACTGAGTCCCCGGCACTGAACCAGGTCTAAGTATTATCATTCTAGACCATCCCTGACAGGTATTTCTCTGACCTGTTCTTAAAAACCTCTAATGACAGAGATTCCACAACCTCCCTAGGTATTTTGTTTCAGAGCTTAACTACCTGACAGTTAAGAAGTTTTTCCTAAGGTCCAAACTAAACCTCCCTTGCTGCAATTTAAGCTCATTGCTTCTTGTCCTGTCCTCAGTGGATCAGGAGAACAATTTATCACGCTCCTCTTTATAACAACATTTTACGTATTTGAAGACTGTTATGTCCCCACTCCACCTTCTCTTCTTCAGACTAAACACCCTGCCCTGGTGCATTCAGGCCAAATGCTACCTGTCACAGAGGAGACACACACACTGTGCTTTCTCGTGAAGACTTCACTTTTGTTCTTTCTTTTCTTCATTGTTTCCCTTAATCCAAAATTAATGGCATTCAGTCCGAAAATAAATGGGTTGCTCTTTGTGTCTGGAAACGAACGTGACACCAGTTCTGACTCAAGTTCTTACTTGTTAGATTGTTTGCTCTTTGTCTTCCTCTGTGTATGTACAGCACCTAACCCAACAGAGAACCTATCCTGATGGGTGCGGCCTTTGGGCATGAACACAATACAAATATTAACTAAGGGTACAGGCTGGCTCTGAAGCAAGGGACCTGAAAGAAGTCTGCAGTGACCTGAAACAAACTAGTTAATTTCAGCCCAAATGGCAGCAAAGCCTAGGGACATTGTTATTATGACTAGACCATGTGGTGTAGAGCAGGAAACTGGTGCTAAACAAATAAGTCCCCTGCCCATAGTACAAATTGGTAGAGAAGAGGACAGCAGAGAAGCAAGGTGGTGGGTGGTCACTGTAGGTGGAATGCCTCACAAGTTAACATCTGAAGGGAGAGGATGCACTTTGGTGGAAGCATATTGTGAAGTGGGGTTGTATGACACTACAGAAAAGGCCAAGTAACTTTAACCACACAAGTCCAGGCAGAGTTCCCACCGTGCTCCATATAGAGTATGCACACACGAGATCTCTCTTTGCCTTTATTAGCTTAATTAACAATAAAATATAAACCTAAGTTTTCTCCTAAATTTGGCTGCTTTCTAGGGTTTCTCACTACAGGACCTCTTCTGTGTCTGCCCCTAGTCCGCTCTGGCTCAGAGATTTTCAAACCTTTATATGCTCCAAGATTGGAGCTAATAGGACCCTCCTGGTCTGACATCAGAGTAAATCAGCAAAAGTAACACTGCACCTCCATGCAGGGTCCTAGAATCTGACACCCTGTCAGACAAAGGTTTTAGGTAATAATCACAAGCCCAGTTGTTGACCAACATCTGCTTTTAGTCCCATTCAGAGGAAAAGGCCAATTTAAACTCACCTGCCTAGATTGCTTTTGTCCCCAATCCCATTGTTGGTTTCCACACTGAGGTTATCGCAAGACTTGCTCATCATCCCAGCAGACATATGCTCCAGGTTGGCCCCATACAGCACATTTTCTGAGCAGGACAGTCTCTGAATCAGGGCAAGATGTTCGTTCTGAGTTGCATAAGCAGAATTTGATTTGACTATTTCCATAAACTTGCTGTCCTCTGAGGGAGAAGGGCAAATGAGAAAATGATCAATCTACTGACTTTCTTCCAGCCTTTTATGTTCAGAACTGCTTTCTGTCTAGCCTTTTCAACATACCAGCCTTACAAAAAGCCTGACATTATATATAGTTGTTCTGATAATCCTAAAACTATCGAGAGGCTGGAGTGTGAGAAAGGGTTTTCAAGCATTTTCTATTATATCACAGGAGGTATTGTGTTTTTCATTTGGATTTGGCTTTCATTCATGTGAATTTAGCTGCAAATTCAGTCTCCACTAAGGAAGATGCAGTGTGCAGCCCCATTAAACCTGAATGCATCTCTGAAACAGACATTTAAAAAATCTGTCAATGGAACTGGAAGGTTCTGTCTGCAGAGGTCTGGAGCAGCTATGATCAGCTGAGGCTCACCTGTGTCATGGGCCACCAGCCCAACACATGTGTATCTGAGGAGACATGCTCCCACGACATCAGAGAGGGATCAGGGAGCTGGTCCTCAGCCCTGCACACTCTGTACTAGTGAGGAAGGGATTATTTTGGTGGCAGTGAACGACATCTAACTTTGCACCTCTAAGTGAAACCACCAATTCCTTATTGATAGCCAGATTTGGGATCTGCAGCACTGGAGAGGGGTCAGGGAAGAGTCATAAGAATGACTGAAAGATTAGAAAACATTCCTTATTATAGTAATAGACTGAAGGAACTCTAGCTTAATAAAGAGATGGTTAAGGGGTGACTTGATCACAGTCTAAGTATCTACATCGGGAACAACCATTGGATAATGAGCTCTTCAGTTTAACAGAGAAAGGTCTGAAACACTCCAATGGCTGGAAGCTGAAGTTAGGCAAATTCAGACTGGAAATCAGGTGTCAATTTTTAACAGTGAGGTTAATTAACCACTGGAACAACTTACCAAGGATTGCAGTGGATTCTCCATCACTGGCAATTATTAAATCAAGACTGGATATTTTTTCCTAAAAGCTCTGCGCTAGGAATTGTTGTGGGGCAATTCTCTGGCCTGTGATAGGCAGGAGACCAGACTAGATGGTCCCAGTGGTCTCTTCTGCCATGGGAATTCTATTAATCTATTTACATCCCTGCCTCCAGGCCCAAGGAAAGTCTGGATATAATTTAAAGCTGACGGAGTCAATATTAATTTATTCAGGTTCCCTCTCAATGGGCTGGAATACCCCTTAAAGTGGACTTGGGGGCAGCTGATAGTTAAGGACACACCTAGAAGTACAACAGAAACCCTGCTGCCATGACGATGCGAGTTGCAAGTTGGAGGGCTGGAAATCAATATGGCTGCACATTCCCCACTCCCTCCCCTGTTTGCAGGGCCGGCTCTAGGCACCAGGCACCCAAGCACATGCTTGGGGCGGCACCTGGTAAGGGGCGGCGGGGGAGCGCGGCGCGGCATTCTGT